TAAGATACTCGTCTTAGTGGAAGCTTTACGTAGGTGAGGACATATCAAATTACAAGCTCATCGCGCCTTAGTCGTCATTTGTTTCTGAAACGTGACACAAATGTTTGTTCTGATGAAAGACAAATACACGTGGCAGATATTATCGAAAGTTCTAAACAAATCCCCCAACGAAGTGCGCCACTGTGGAAGAGTTCCTAAATGATTTCAAAAAGCAACAATTCGTTCAAATAAACTTCCTGGGCTATGAGTTATATCCTTTACGGTCATAGTTCAGTACATGTAACTTGTATCATCTTACATTCTACCCACCCTAGCAGAATACATGTTACGTTATCATAGTATATTCTACCATCCCTAGCTCAATACATGTTACTTGTATACATCTTACATTCTACCCTTCCTAGCTCAATACATGTTACTTGTATACATATTACATTCTAACCACCCTTGCTCAATACATGTTACTTGTATCATCTTACATTCTACCCTCCCTAGCTCAATACATGTTACTTGTATACATATTACATTCTACCCACCCTAGCTCAATACATTTTACTTGTATACATCGTACATTCTACCCTCCTAGCTCAATACATGTTACTTGTATACGTATTACATTCTACCCACCCTAGCTGAATACATGTTACTTTATCATATTATATTCTACCCTCCCTAGCTCAATACATGTTACTTGAATTATATTACATTTTACCCTCCCTAGCTCAATACATGTTACTTAATCATATTACATTCTGCCCTCCCTAGCTCAATACATGCTACTTGTATACATCTGACATTGTACCATCCCTAGCTCAATACATGTTACTTATATACATATTACATTCTACCCTCCCTAGCTCAATACATGTTACTTGTATCAACTTACATTCTACCCACCCTAGCTCAATACATGATACTTGTATACATCTTACATTCTACCCTCCTAGCTCAATACATGTTACTTGTATCAACTTACATTCTACCCACCCTAGCTCAATACATGATACTTGTATACATCTTACATTCTACCCTCCTAGCTCAATACATGTTACTTGTATCATCTTACATTCTACCATCCCTAGCTCAATACATGATACTTGTATACATCTTACATTCTACCCTCCCTAGCTGAATATATGTTACTTTATCAGATTATATTCTACCATCCCTAGCTCAATACATGTTACTTGTATACATATTACATTCCACCCTCCCTAGCTCAATACATGTTACTTGTATCATCTTACATTCTACCCACCCTAGCTCAATACATGATTCTTGTATACTGTACATCTTACATTCTACCCACCCTAGCTCAATACATGATACTTGTATACATCTTACATTCTACCCTCCCTAGCTCAATACATGATACTTGTATACATCTTACATTCTACCCTCCCTAGCTCAATACATGTTACTTGTATCATCTTACATGTGTGTCTCCAAGTTTCAGAATCAAGTATTATAGTAATTCCAAATTGAGTCACGTCAGTCATGTTTGCAGTCGCTATCGTGGGTTATATATAACCTCTATAACACTATATATCTTAACCTGATAAGTTTCCCCCTCTTCTGAATCCACCAACATTAGAGTTTTAGTTTGATTATTCCCCACATATCTACATTAGAATCTAACACATTATCTGACGCTGTAAACCACATGTAGTAACCAAACAGAATTACATCGTCAGCATTACACTATTATTACATCCACTATATCTTGGAAGAATTGAACTAACTCGCTTATAAATAGTCATAAATTCACCCTTGCCTAAACCAAAATGGATAATCAAAATAATCTGTGCTATCTGTGTAACATATATCTAACACATGCTTTAACTGATATGTGTACATTTTGTAAAGCCCTGAGCATTTGGAAATATTTTGGTTATGTCATTGGAAGAATAAGGTCGACAGGTATCTAAGGCCATTTTTAAAATGCATAAAAACTACACACAGTTTCTTCTTATTACACAGACATTTTGAATAATTGCACATAAGGTACAAATATGATCCATAGTCGAATAACCTTGGCGAAAACCTGTTTGGTTTTCAGAAGTTTTACTCATAATATCTGCCCATTTTTGTACGTCTGTCATTTATTACACAGTTCTAAATTTTACCTCGCGAACTGAGTGAAGATATTCCTTTGTAATTATCGGAATCATTTATATCACCCTTCTATTCAACGGGATAATAATTACCTGATGAAATGAAACCATCTGTTGTTTTGAATATTGTTGGAAGTTTTCCGTGTATGTGGAACACGCCTTAACGCTTTCCAAATAGCGGCTGAATTAGTTCTAGTTGCATGAAACATTTGTCCTATGTTCCACTGGGGCTCACGTTTCCTGTATCTAAAGGTACGCTTATATTTGTTTCCCAACTCACAATTTTGTATTCTTTGAGTAAAACTGTTGCATTTGTATGTGTTTTGACTGTTTTCTGTGGAAGTATGGTCGATCAGACCCTAAACAAATAGCTTTGTGTTAAGGGGGTCCCAGTTATGAAGTGCATTACAAAATAGCTTGTAAACCACAGATCCTAAACTAATAGTTCTGTGTTAATCGGGTCCCGGTTATTAGGAACATTACAAAATAGCTTGTAAACCACAGATCCTAAACTAATAGTTCTGTGTTAATCGGGTCCCGGTTATTAGGAACATTACAAAATAACTTGTAAACCACAGATCCTAAACTAATAGTTATGTGTTTATCGGGTCCCGGTTATTAGGAACATTACAAAATAACTTGTAAACCACAGATCCTAAACTAATAGCTCTGTGTTAAGTGGGTCCCAGTTATGAAGTGCATTACAAAATAGCTTGTAAACCACAGATCCTGGAGTAACAGATCTGCATGAAAGAGGGTCTCAGTTATTAGGAACATTACGATATAGCTTGTCAGCCCCAGATCCTAGACGAATAGCACTGTTTAAAAGAGGGTCAGAGTTATTAAGTGCAATACAAAATAGCTTGACTATTAAACGAAAATTATGAATTATGCACCAAAATCGTCCTCTTCTTTAACATATTGAATTTGAACGGTTAATTACAATGTTTCAAAAAGTGTTTTGCCTACTAGACCGTGAATAGTATGTAAATGATGAGTGAGGGCATACAAATGGCGAACACATTTCAACAGTCATATTTTACAGAACATGTATCAACAAAAACATTTTGTAATAAATACACGCAGAGACAAAGAATAATAATTTCATACCAATTCATATCTGTTTATTTAACAGATGTAAATATATCACTTTATTCAAACAGTGTGCATAACAATCTAAAATAATCATGCTAGATTAAGGAACACAAGGTAGGAAACGTGCTAAAACACGATGCATGTACAGGCAACACAGATTTTGAATATTTGTTGGAATGAGATTACAGGTACAAACTAGACGAAAATGGTCTTATTCATGAATTTAGCCTCCGGTGTTTCCAGCAATGTCCAAACGACAATTTTGTCACATAGGGCTCAGGCTCACCCGTTTGACCAGAAAACCCTTTGTGAGTTTATTAGTAGGGTCTAAAAGCTGTAGCACTGGCCATTCTCGCTCACTTTGTCATTAATCCTGTTTGTCCAATGCATTACCACCGAAGCACACCCGTCTTTAGTCTGTGAATTATCCCCCCTTGGGGTAGGGCCATATTTTCTAATGTTTGCACAAAATTTGTAACTGCATTACTGCGTTAATTGTCTGTCATTGTTACTATGCAAACATCCCGTGGGTCGTATTGAGTGTTTGGGTAGGGGTATTAAATGAGGTCAATATGTGTGTTTGGACGCGGAAAGGGCGTTTTTAGAATGGCCATTTTATGTAGAAAGTCGGGAACACTCGCAAAATATGTATTCGGCAGATGTCAATATTGAATCCAAACTGAAACGTTTTCACGCGATAGTAGTCCCCAAGAAAAGATTATAAATCAGTTATTGTTTCCTACTGTCATTATGAGCTCACTGTTTAAATGATAATGTCCCTCCTGGAGAAATATATTCATAAGCATATAAACAGTTTAAGCACTTTCCTAACATTGATATATCTAACATCGCACAAGAGATGTTTGTCGTATACGAGCACAGCAATGTTGTTTATACAACTAGGATAACATGCAGTAATTTGGTATTTTTGTATTGCAGTCATTGTCTGTTAGTCATCTCTTATTGTATGATACATTCATCACGTTATTTCCCAACAATGTGTGTCACATATCAAATCAAGATATGCAAAATGACAACATGGAGTAGTAAAACATTGTAATAGTTAAACACTTGACTTAGCTTTGCATGTATGTGTGACCGGTGCCACCAGTGGGATAGGATAGGTTCACATTTTCGCGAACGTCTGGTACGATCACTGTTTGATAGTGAGTCATAAACACGTGCTGATGACATAGTCGAAGTCGTACAGTTGACTCTGCTTTTAGCAAATACTTTTTGTGTATTTTTAAATAAATGTGTCGATTTTATTTGCAGACACAAGGAGGGAAGACAGACACAGGGAAGGAAGACAGGCACAGGGAGGGAAGACAAACATGGGAAGAGAAGATGGACACAGGGAGGGAAGACAGACACAGGGAGGACAGACAGACACAGGGAGGAAAGACAGACATAAGGAAGGAGGGCAGACACAGGGAGGAAAGACAAACATGGGAAGAGAAGCTAGACAATGGGAGGAAAGACAGACACAGGGAGGAAAGACAGACATAAGGAAGGAGGGCAGACACAAGGAGGAAAGACAGACATGGGAAGAGAAGCTGGACAATGGGAGGGAAGGCAGAAACAGTGAGGAAAGACAGACACAGGGAGGAAAGACAGACACAGGGAGGAAAGACAGACATAAGGAAGGAGGGCAGACACAGGGAGGAAAGACAAACATGGGAAGAGAAGCTAGACAATGGGAGGAAAGACAGACACAGGGAGGAAAGACAGACATAAGGAAGGAGGGCAGACACAAGGAGGAAAGACAGACATGGGAAGAGAAGCTGGACAATGGGAGGGAAGGCAGAAACAGTGAGGAAAGACAGACACAGGGAGGAAAGACAGACACAGGGAGGAAAGACAGACATGAGGAAGGAGGGCAGACACGAGGAGGAAAGACAGACATGGGAAGAGAAGCTGGACAATGGGAGGGAAGGCAGAAACAGTGAGGAAAGACAGACACAGGGAGGAAAGACAGACACAGGGAGGAAAGACAGACATGAGGAAGGAGGGCAGACACGGGGAGGAAAGACAGACACAGTGAGGAAAGACAGACACAGGGAGGAAAAACAGACACAAGGAGGAAAGACAGACACAGGGAGGAAAGACAGACACAGGGAGGGAAGACAGACACAGGGAGGGAAGACAGACATAAGGAAGGAGGGCAGACACAAGGAGGAAAGACAGACACAGGGAGGAAAGACAGACACAGGGAGAAAAGACAGACACAGGGAGGGAAGACAGACACAAGGAGGGAAGACAGACACAGGGAGGGAAGACAGACACAGGGAGGGAAGACAGACACAGGGAGGAAAGACAGACACAGGGAGGAAAGACAGACACAGTGAGGAAAGACAGACACAGGGAGGAAAGACAGACACGGGGAGGGAAGACAGACACAGGGAGGAAAGACAGACACAGGGAGGAAAGACAGACACAGGGAGGGAAGACAGACACAAGGAGGGAAGACAGACACAGGGAGGGAAGACAGACACAGGGAGGGAAGACAGACACAAGGAGGGAAGACAGACACAAGGAGGGAAGACAGACACAGGGAGGAAAGACAGACACAGGGAGGGAAGACAGACACAAGGAGGGAAGACAGACACAGGGAGGGAAGACAGACACAGGGAGGGAAGACAGACACACGGAGGGAAGACAAACATGGAAGAGAAGATGGACACGGGGAGGAAATACAGAAACAGTGACGAAACACAGGGAGGAAAGACAGACACAAGGAAGGAAGACAGACACAGTGAGGGAAGCCAGGTACAGGGAGGGAAGACAGACACAAGTATGGAAGACAGACACAGGGATAAATTTCTGATTGAGTCATGGGAAAACTATGACAAGGAGCTTGTCAGGCGGAGTGCCTAAAACCTTAGAAAAACACAGACTTTCTCCGAGCAATGTCCTAATTATATCTGACAATAGCTCACCTGGGAGCTTAATTACAGGTAAGAGATGCTAGACGGTCGAGTGGTCACGTCTTTGAAGGATCGCTGATGACTAAGTGAAACGGAACAGAGGTGATAATTGACTTATCGCGTTGGTAGCATTTGCGATAATGGAATCATCACGGTTTTAATAGAACTGCTAATTAACTGACAGAGTGTTGATTGAAGAAAAAAAGAAAGAAAATTATTTGATAATAGTTGATATCACTGCTCAGGCTGATTTAACATGTCTGCATAAATTTGTAAAAAGAAATAAACTGCCGGGTAAAAGAAACTACACGCTTGAAAATTGGATTTGACAAAAAATAATTACAGACGTTATGAAAACGTTGCTAGGATGAAAACAGTAGGGGTAGGGGCTGGGAGTTTGTATCAAGTTCTTTTTTGCATGCGCTTTATTCTTCTTAAAGAAGAACACCTTGCAACAGTGTAATTTTTGTGGCTGGCAATTTCTTTTTTTTCCACTGTCTGAAGCATAATTATTTTTTTCTAGACTGTTTGGAAACAATTTATTTTTTTCATAAAATCCTAGTATATTTGGTTAAATGCATACCGTCAGAGACATTTAGGTCTAAACTATTAAGTAAAGCCAAAACATTGTTTACCCAGGATTTTACGCAATTTTGTAGACCATTTACTAATCCAACAAAGAAGTCTATATGGATCGACCGCTTGAATTCGCCGCCCAAAACGAAATATTTCAATATGCTGTTTTGTAAGTGGGCTTGTCCATCCCATTTCGCCACGGACTGATACATTTGGAGTTTTGTTATTAACCGCAAGGAAGAAACGAGCGGCTCTGTTTTGAACAGAATTAATACAGCTGAATTGCTTGAGGCCCCAGATAGCCGAACCGTACGAAAGTATAGGCTGAACAAGATTATCATACAGTTTATTAACAACTGAAAATGACATACCACCCGCTAATTTAAAGATAAGAGCACCAAGAGCTTTATTTGCTGATTTGGCCAATTCCTTAACAGAATAATTAATATCCAAATGCTCATAAAGCCAAACTTCTAAATATTTATAGGCGTTAATAATGCCAATGTGAGAAGAGCCAATAGCAACGATTATTTCCGATCTTTTAACAGATCGGGGCCTGAAATGAACAACCTTAGGTTTTTTTACTTATAAACGCCATTGTGCTGCCCAGCGAGAGACACAGTCTAACATACGCTGTAAGGAATTTTCGTCTGGAGCAATCAAAGCTACGTCGTCCGCGTACAGTAAAATATTTAACATATTATCGCCTACCTGAATACCATATTTAAGTTTATTAATTTTACAATAAGCTCTCAAAGTCAAAGTTTGTCAAGTCTTCCGCCTGAAATATATTGCCACACTTTGTCAAATCTAATGGTGGAAGTTCAGATAGATAAGTATTCCATCTATTAATACACGATAAAAGTTCCCATATAATGCGAATTTGTGGTTTTATTTAAGACATTAAGTTTATTTGATGAACGTTGAGCTGTAGCAGGCTGTCAGTCTCCAGTGCTATATCTGTCATCTTCATGGTTGAACTACTGCTATCTAATCATAAGAAGTACAATAAAAACACGTGATTTACAGGAATTATGTAGCAGTAGGGGGATTCCACCTATAGAGCTCACTTTAGGTTGTAATTACAAGTGCCAAGTATTAATGGGGACATGTATATAAACTTAGATAGTTTAAAAAAAGATTACATTTAAGTTCCCCTTCTTAATTATGGTAACATAATCTACATCTAAATGTGTAGATTTACTTTTATTCCAATAATACAGAAAATAACAAGGATCTTTCATCGTTTCACTACAGCACGGCGTGAAGGGGATAGGAATAATCACTGCATCGTTCCTTATTTTATCCTTGTATTGTACAATACATTTCTCTCCTCTAGAATTGAAGCAAATTATTTCCTGAAATAATGTTCCTGATGCTGATTTCATAATAGAATTCATGTGGAATAGAGCTGGCTAGACTTGCTTTTATATATATCTTGATAGGTTTTGTTTTCAGAAATTACAAATATTCCACAGTCATGGTGCGTGACTAACTAAATAAGGTTTAGTTGTGTTATCTATTCTGGCTGTGATGTATGCGTCTTTGCATTGTGCATCCCAGGTTTGTGTCCTCATTTCCCTTTCATCCCCTACGTTGCAAGATTTGTCCACCAGGAAATGCGTCAAATCAGTAAAGACAGTAATCTTAATCAACTTAATATATCAGAAACAATATATATCCAATTACACTCATTGTTAATGTTGTGGCCAATTTATTTATTGTATATATTAGTATGATCTTATATAATTCTATTTTTCACATATATTTCTATTAATTCAATATTCAATATAAAATATGTTATGGTCTATATTCTGTATTATTCTCGTGTATATCTATGGAACTTTTCTCTATGTCGCTGTATTGACTTTTGATAAGAAACTTCTGTTCTGTTCTTTGAAACGTTAATTGAATTGAATAGCAGGTGTGCACATGTATGTTTCTGAATGAGCATTTCTTGGTAGCAAATGTTCATATGTGTAAAAATCTTGGACGCGACGTTAAACCCAATTTCACCTCACCTCACCTCACCTCACCTCATATGTGTAACTCCACATTAATATACATTCTGCTACGAGGCTGCTCTGTATAGAACACATCCGCGTATGGCCCGCAGTGAGTACAGATGAAACAAGCTTTCATGACAAGTTCCTCACGGTGATACTTGAACAAGGTACAAATGGTATATCACGAGACAAATATTGTTTGTCGAGATGTTAGATATCGGTATAACGCAATTCCCTTCTCATTTCACTATTTAATGAAAACATCAGAGACAAATTGTTGGCTTCCAGCATTGATTTTAGAACACGACATATATTACAATATAACAATTTTTATTAAAACTATTCATCAACGTAAAATGATGGAACAAAGAGACAGATAGAATATTACATACATATTGTCTTTGTCTTGCGTAATATTGCCAACTCAGTGTAGGTATTGTAATCTACACAAACACCACCCCACATATTTCCTGTAGTATATAGCACTTTCCACACATATTTTAACACAGTTTGTGTTGATAATATCCCACATAACAATATGTGTATTAGTTTTTGAGACACAATGCAGCGACCAGAACCTCCGTGACAAGCCGGAAAGTTAGGGAGATCCTGACGCCATTCTCAGATGAGGATAGGCGGAGTATTGTCCACAGGAGAAGTGTTGTTGTAGAGCCTGGTAGGTTGCGTGAGGGTGACCGTTTCCTGCAGTGGGTGTAGGGGTTGGTGGCATATAAGCCCCACCCAGAGGCGAGCTTCCTGGTGGAGAACTGGAGAGAGGGGAGCCGGTCAGGGAGCTGTTCATGCTGCTGGCGTTGTAGTAGCCAGTTGTAGGAGAATAGCCTGTAGGAGATCCCATGGTCCAGGTACTAGGATCAGGTTTGCTTCCTATACTGTATTGCTGGGGCTGGGTGAGTCCCTGGGGAAGGGAGCCGAGACTCAGGGGGTTAAGAGCAGGGTAGGGAGACGGGCCCCCGTAGAGACTGAAATGGCCATAAGAACTCACATGCTGAATAGTGGCGTCTTCTCGGCGTTGTCTGTGCGCCAGTTTGAAACGTTTAGCACGACGAAGGAAACTGCCGTTACCGAACATGTCCCCACAAGATGGATGCAGAGCCCAATGGTTACCCTTGCCTGGTTTCCCCGGGGGTCGGGGCACCTTGACGAAACAGTCATTGAGGGAGAGGTTGTGTCTGATGGAGTTCTGCCATCTCTGTTGGTTCTCTTTGTAATATGGAAACCTCTTCATGATGAAACTGTATATATCGTTGAGAGTCATCATACCAGTAGGAGAACTCTCGATGGCCATGGTAATCAATGCAATGTAGGAATAGGGAGGCTTGACATTTTCAGCAAAGCGTCGATTTTGTTGAGACAGAGTTGATGTACCTGAATATTCATCTGAATCCTCGTCTTCGTCGTTTTCGGAACACAATGACGGCGATGGTGATGACTGGTTGCTCTGATCGTTGTCAGGAGGCCCGTGTTGCTGCAGATTGTCGCGAGTGTCGTCTGTTCCAGGAGATACTTCTGATTTGACGTCTGTTATCCCTGTCGTCAGACCTGGCATCGGGGGAAGAGACAGTGAAGGCGTGTGTGGGGACAGGATGTACGCTCCTGACATGGGAGGCCCCTGTTGCACGGCATGCGACAACGACATCATACAGGAGGACTTGTCGTCTGCGCCACCTCCATACTGGAACAGATTTGGGCCTTGATTCAGCAACATTCTCGTATGTTTTACAGATCAAATCTAACCGATGTGAAGGATTTCACTTTCAAAACCCTGAGTGTTTGTCCGATCTACTCGCGACACGGTTTATATCCCACATGGAATTAATCCACAAAATACACAACTTCTGTACCCCCCTGTTCATAGATTAAGCCGCTATTGTTCGATAATCTGCTCCCAGCTACATCCAACCAATCGCAATCCAGTTACACCTTGTCCAGTCATAATCTTGTTCCTCTGTTCTGATTGGAGAGCTACTATATTGATTCCACACCCCTTCACTGGTGCTATACTGGGACTCAATATTATTTCATGAAGTAAACATATCCAACAAATAGTAGCTTAATATTATTGTTAACGACTCAATACATCAGAAACAAATGTTTTGTTAAGATCATTGCTATTTTCCAAACATCTCTTTGAAGCAGCTCTTGTCGACATTGATTAAAAATTAATGAAAGATGATAACATATGTAAAATCAGTCACGTCGAAATTTGTCAGAATTTGTGCCTGAACATTTCTATTTTGTCGAAAGTCTGTCGAATGTGTCCAACCTACACTTGATTTGTTGCATGACTCTGATATCATGGCTTTCGTTGATATTGACAGAAATACGATTATACGTGTATCAAAATGTCTAGACCCGAGCTATCTAATAAGATGTCATTCGATCTGAACATGTGAGCCGAGAATAATTAATTGCTTATATGGTCCCTTGAGTTCCCACTTGATGAATATATTGTTATGTTTTTACTTCAGAGAAAATGCACAATAAGGTAATGGAGTCTTGATGCAATGGCAGTGTTCACGGCCTCTCTATGCATCTTTCCAATGGACTCTTCAACTGCTAGACATTCAAAATCCCCAAATCCTTTCTTCGGGGAATATTTTGTTTTAATTGATTAAACACCCCGTTGTCCAGACTTTACCTTGTAGATTAGAATTAGATTAGACCTTTATAATCTACCTCACCGTAAAACCGTATTGTATCATCACGCTCAGACAATGCCTTGATCAGCCGTGACATCAGTTTTATCAGTAGTGAGCCATCATAGACTCCAAATTACACACGCCATATAATAGAGCTTCCCACTTCTTGAGCCTGCAACATGTATATTTCACGGTCACATCCCCACCCCCGGGGTCGTAACGTCCGTGGCTAACCCCCGCCCTAGGCGATATGCGAAACAGGACCATTCATGATTTCTTGTCAATTTCAGTAAACTTGTATATGTTGAAAGTGAATATCATTGTCAATATTTACCGGCTGGATACTGACGTGTGTATATCTATTGCCTGTGGTGAAATATATTTCGACAGTAATATTGTCATTGAGGCACATATTTACATTGCTTCAAATAGCTCACGTTAGATTCAATTAAACACGTCAAGCTCACAGTTAAATGAATGTAACTCGTGATTTTCTTTAACCGTATTCTTAAGATGAAGAACATTATTTTATTAAAGTGTCACACATTGTAAAGTGCAATTATGACATTAAATAATCTTTACATGTATACAATGTCCGGCCATATGGCCTAAGAGACACACAACTCAACATGTATACAAATATGCGTAAAGTAACAAGATGCATATATAGATTTAAATATAGATTTCATAGTGAGGCTCTTCATCGACCTCTATATGTTCTTGTACCAAACAGGAACTAGTTTCATGTTGAAAACATCACGAAGCTAATGAACTCGTTAACCGATCAATTTATTAGATGAACATGTATTCGCTTCAAGGAACACAACATACATTTCCGTGTGGTACCGTGGTCATTATTTCCTAATTAACTAGAATATATTGCGGTAACTTCAGAGAAAAATTAATTTCTATCTTCTATGCATAAACATGCCTAATCTAATGTGTACAAGGGATTTGTACCTTGTTGAGGGAGACGCGTTCTTTCGGAACGTAAGTATTTACGTCTATGTTTATGTTCAGCCTATGTCGGACGTGCTTTACAAATTGGCTTAAAACAAACTAGCCCGGTCCCCTTTCATTAAAAGCGGATGACGTGTTCGATATAATCACCGTGGCGTCAGCAGCGCGCTTTCTCCGTGTTATAGGTGTAAAACTCCAGTTTCTGTTTTCTATAACTTCAAAGGAGACTAAGTTTCTTGCTTTTAACACAAAATATGTTTTAAGAAAAAAGGCTTGCGGTATTTGTTTTAATTGTTTTCCCTAGATAACTCAAGAAGATATACACATTGACAATATTAGACTTTTCGGAAAATTCAAACGTTTGCTATTTTGAAGTTGTGTCAAAAGTACGTTTTCCAAAATAAGTCTCTGATGTAAAAGAAGTGTTTTCAATGCTTAACACCTTTATTTCAAGTAAACATGTCAAATTCACGCCATTGTCAATTTCCCCCATGTTGCTGTATACAGTACTTGAGCGATATTCACACTATTTGGCCATACACTTTGTGCTATATGTGACAGGATGTTGCAGGCAGGTAATGGCCACACGTTGGTGTTATTGTTATAACAATATATTACCACTTCTTGCTATACCAACGAACCGAAATGGACATCATATTGGTTGAATCAAAGGTGAGAGGGTATATGCATAGAAGCAATATAATTGTTGAGGAGTATTTATCAGCATTGATAACCAGTTACACATATACTGATAGTTAAGTGGTTTTTGTAGTGGTAGTTTTTACATGAAGGAATTGTATTGATACAAACCATATATACGCGTGTGTACAATGCGGATTTATCATTGATAAGTATTATATAATTGTGTTCCGTTGATACCTGTTTTTTGTTTGTTAGATGAATAGTGTAAGCATACGTGATTAGTATTTAATTTTAAATTGTAAAGAAGACACACTACATTTAATGTATCGTAAAATTATCCAGTAACTATACATATCTTGAAATGCCAATTGCAGTGGAACTAGCATGGCATTCTTTTTCAAGAATTTTTGGGGACAATTTACCCACCCCCAGAATATCAAATGGTCGGCCATTAATGTCAGTAATAATTTTGCCGAACTATCATGCCTACTGTGATTGATAATAACAATATGATAGTGTCCAATCGAAACACGTCATTATAATTAATTATGATTCTAGTATCATAGCTACACCAACCATGTTCCACTTCTTCAAAGGAAAACACGTAACGTATCGATCTTAACCCTGATGCTGGACGGGGAAGGCTTCATAAGCTAGTCCAGCTTTGTGTGTGCTACCAGATACAAGCATGGATCGAAATACTTGTTTTGGGACCCCCCCCCAAACTCACTGCGTTTCTATTGTGTTCGTGATTCTGCTCATCTTGACTGTGTCCATCACTGGGGGAGCGAGAAAACAGTTTTTGAAAATCTCACTTTCTGTGCAACAATATAAAATTTGGAGTAAAGAAAACTTTACAGAAGCCACACTGTGGGTTATGAGGTTACCATAAATGCATAATACCTAGATAATGTACCTAAATATATAATATTAGATGTTTAATAACTTCTACCATACACATACAGATGAGAACAATTACATATTGTGTATGCAGATAATAAAATCATGGTTCTCCTTGTTACCACTGCATGAACCTTAAATGCTAAACTATTTCCATGTCCTGGTTTTTAATTGAAAAGACATATTTTTTCCACTGAACACCTATCATAAACGTGCAGTCAGGTAAACTGTAATAGCAGAAAATGTCAAGTCCAAATAGAGAGAAAAATCAAATATAGATTGAGTTTCCTCTTCAATAGGTCATTAACTTGGACTGGAGTGTGTCCATAATATATCATTACCCTTGAGTGAACTACATCCGACATTAGGAATAGCCTTAAAACTTACCTGTATCCTTCATAAGGAATCACCTTGGAGTAGAGTTAAAATAAGTATCACCGTAAAGTGAGCAATGGTGTGTTTGCAAGAAATCCGATACGATATGGTAGTTTTACTTCCAATCAGCTATTTTGAGTTTAATTCCACTATGAACTGACATGTTGTGTATGAACCTTTATGTAGTGTATGAACTTATGTGTAGTGTATGAACTTAGTTGCAGTCTATGAACGTATGTATAATGTATGAACTTATATGTAGTGTATGAACTTATATGTAGTGTATGAACAAATGTGTGATGTATGAACTTATGTATAGTGTATGAACTTATATGTAGTGTATGAACTACGTGTAGTGTATGAACTTATATATAGTGTATGAACAAATGTGTGATGTATGAACTTATGTGTAGGGTATGAACTTATATGTAGTGTATGAACTTATGTGTAGGGTATGAACTTATATATAGTGTATGAACAAATGTGTGGTATGTGAACTTATGTACAGTGTATGAACTTATGTGTAGTGTATGAAATTATGTGTAGGGTATGAACTTATGCGTAGTGTATGAACGAATGTGTGGTGTGTGAACTTATGTATAGTGTATGAACTTATGTGTAGTGTGTGAACTTATATGTAGTGTATGAGGAATCACCTTGGAGTAGAGTTAAAATAAGTATCACCATGGAGTGAGCAATTGTGTGTTTGCAAGAGTGAATGAGTGAGTTGGGTGTAACGCCGCTTTTAACATTATTCCAGTTATATCACGGCGTATCAGCTTAATAGGGGAGGAAAGCCCGAAGTGATGCAGGTCTCAGGCGTTTACCACTTCGGTGAAACCCACGAGCACGGGTATGGTGCTGACAAACCTAGAAACATAATCGGGGCGAACAGGGATTAAAACCCACAATCATAGGTTTCTGGCGTGCCCAAGGGACACAACTCTGCACAGCGAATCGAGGCGCCTTAGACGACTGGGCCACCCGTGCCCCGTGTTTGCAAGAACACGATATGGTAGTTTAACTTACAATCAGCTATTTTGAGTTTAACTCCACTATGAACTGACATGTGGTGTGTGAACTTATGTGTAGTGTATAAACATATGTGTAGTGTATAAACTTATGTGTAGTGTATAAACTTATGTGTAGTGTGGTTTATGAACCTATGTGAAGTGCACGAACTGATTGTGGTGTATGAACTTATGTGTAGTGTATGAACTTATGTGTAGTGTGGTTTATGAACCTATGTGAAGTGCACGAACTGATTGTGGTGTATGAACTTATGTGTAGTGTATGAACTGACATGTGGTGTATGGACTTATGTGTAGTGTATGTCATTGATTCCCCGAGGGAGACGAGGGAGACGAGTATATAAACTAATCTTCTGGTGAGTGTACGAATAAGAAGAGACAGCTTTTGTATACGTAGTTTATTTTGATTATTAAGACAATACATGTATGCACAAGCTCAATTCTTTTAAGAACATTGCCGTATAATTTCTTTGGCAATATCTCGGTCATTCACATGCTTCAAATATACATACTTAGCACTTATACGTCAAACAAGCTAAACGCTAGGCTTGATTTTCATACGAAAGTGAACAAAGCGTATTTGTTTCATTCGGAAATGTTGAGTTCGTAGCACTAACAAGGGAATGATGCAATGATGAATACAGACTTTGAGAATTTTGACTTCGACTTGTAGAGGGCATATGTGGCACGTAGACCCCACCCAGGGTCGAGCTTCCCGGGGGAGAGCTGGAGAGAGGGGAGCCGGTCAGGGAGCTGTTCATGCTGCTGGCGTTGTAGTAGCCAGCTGTAGGAGGAGTGTAGACTGTAGGAGATGTCATAGTCCAGGGACTGGGGTCAGGCCTATTTGCTGTGCTGTAGGCGTGTGTCTGGGTCAGTCCCTGGGTTAAGGGGGCAAGACTGAGGGGGCTGAAGCCAAGGTAGGGGGACTGGCCTCCATATAAACCTAAAAGGCCATAAGAGGTAAGACGTTGGACGGTGGCTTCATCTTGTCGCTGTTTGTCTCCTGACTTGAAACGTTTAGAACGACGAAGAAAACTGCCGTTACCGAACATGTCCCCACAAGATGGATGCAGAGCCCACAGGTTACCTTTGCCTGGTTTCCCCGGGGGTCGGGGTACCTTGACGAAACAGTCATTGAGGGAGAGGTTGTGTCTGATGGAGTTTTGCCATCTCCGTTGGTTGTCTTCGTAGTAAGGGAATCTCTTGACGATGTAGTTGTAGATGTCGTTGAGTGTCATCATGCCTGTTGTGGAACTCTCGACGGCCATGGTGATGAGAGCAACGTAGGAATAGGGAGGCTTCTTGTTGGAAAACTCTCTTTTCTGTTGGGAGAATGTAGACGTTCCTGGCACACTGTTAAGACTCGGGTCCTCGTCGTCAGTATCTGAAGTAAGTGATGCGGGTGGTGACGGGGTAATGCCGTGATGACTCGTAGACTCTATTGTGTGACGAGGAATGGCTCTTGCTTCAGATGTAAAATGGCGTTGGTCATCGGGTACGAACTTGGATGTGTCGTCTGCTTCCTGGGCAACTGCAGACGTACAATGACTGACTGGAGCGTGGTGTTGAAGAAATTGGAGAGATGTCGTCGGTTGCGACATGCAGGAAGAAGCACCCTCGCGGTGTTTAAACGTGGATGGGTGAAACATGTTTCTTGACACAAGCACCGGGGAGAACAGTTTTACCTCAGTAGGAAGAGAAATGTTTATCCTCCCCCTCAACCACAAGGTTTATATTGCCTGTCGAGATTATCCCCTCGTCAAACGCTTTACAGAAATCATTTGTTTCTTGATTAGGCGTCCATTGTTTCTCCAACTGTAATGAGACTAGGAGGTGCTTGCTGTTCAGGCTACACAGAGCTGATTGGTTTAAACGGTAACTCCACCTTTATAAGCATGTTATTCATCAAATGGACATATCGCATTTAAATAATTTTGTTCAAAGAATAGAAAATGCCCTGTACGCTATTTAGATCAACCTGTTTATTCATAAGGATTATTTAGGAAACCCTCGACATAAATGTTTCCAAATTGATGGAATTAGCATTTAGTGTTTTACGCGTACGGTGTTTTTTTTGTAGTGGGTGTTTCACACCTCTTTTACACACATCAACGATGTCAACATTAATCTTATCGGGGATACTTACTGACATATTGACATCAAAACAAATCAGCACAACAAATTCTCGGTTTTACAATATCGATAATCACAGAAACAAACATTCCGCCAGCATACTAACTGTAGAAATAGCCGCTGAAGATGCCTCTTGGTCAACATATGTTACCATAAGTTAATATGCATAATTAATGTATGTCAATATACAAATGCGGGTGCTATTTGACAGAGGTATTGTTCTTATTCATCTAATGTTTTAAGGATTTGTCCGTTAAGGCTCCAACAAAGCTAAATTTAAGACAGTACATATTTCCTACTCCTAAAATAGCCCGCCATCTTATAAGTTACGTTCTAGTAATCATGTTTACCCGTGGAAACATGACGTTGGGTAAATTGCACCAGTTATTAGCAAAAATATGTAAATATGTAATAAACTGTGTCGGAGATTAATACCATTATCTACTTGAATTTCCCTATTCTAAAGAACATAAGGAAAGCATACAAAGACAAATATCACAGTGTACACATTCATCCTTGTTTATAAGTTCATTCTTCTTCCAGCGCAGCCAGCAGAGAGACGCACATGTATGTTATCACTTAGAAAACTATCTACACTTGTCAACCCTGTCTTAATGCTCCATGGCACTTCGACTATGTGTACAGCCACGTGAGGTGAGGCATTGTTATATTATATCCATGTACGTCAGTGGTTTTTGTGGACTAAGATTGTTTATAAGATAGATGTAGCGATTGTCATTATGAATCCACATGTCTGTCATTCTATTTCGGTCAGGTTAACACCTTTAATAATACGTAGGTGGATAATTTTTAAACTAGGAAATGAACATCACAAGATAATCAAGCGCCTTGAGGTTCGTGCATTTCCGTTATTAATTACACAAGTAATCGTATCGGGGAGTCTTAATGACTCATTTAATGACTAGTCGCTACACCGATGGACGCCACAACAATTCAGCACTCCACTTCCCGCGTTGGCAGTATCGATACTCAAACACCCTCCAGTCTGTGACAGTAGCTACACAAGGGGATTGTTGACATAATGTGATGTATGTTTTGTATTTCTCGCTAAGCTATATCAATTCTATAAAATCTTCATGAATTATTTAAATTAATCTGCAATTAATAATAATGTATCGCGTGATATTGTACATTGTGTAATTTTATATATGCATTTGTGTTATGTCTATGATGTTATGTGAACAGTTATGTTTACAGTGTTATAGTTACATTTTATGTACCTCTAATGTCACTTTTTACTTTTACTGAGTACAGTAAAGTTCAGTTCAGTTCGTAGAATACCTGATCCACCAAAGTGTACATGCCTTATTATTGTTCTCTTCAGAAAGAAGGAAGCCACCTTTATGAGTTCTACCACCCACAATGAACAAAACCGACCCTTGAGTCATGTACAAATGAATGTTTACGTCATTTAACAAGGGACACGTTTCTTGATTATTGTTGCGATTAGTAAACAAATATTAATAAAACTGATGATGAAAGTTCAACAGCTGCAAACATGACAAAGTTTTGTAATGGTTAAACTGTAAAAGCATGGTTGTATGTTAAGTCCGATCTTGTTATCACTCTTCATGAACAAATTACCAAATGAAATAATTTTGTAAAGGAAAACGAGTGCAGAGACATTTGACTATTGGTCTTTACGCTTATGGACTAAGGTGTCATTTATTCAGTGTATTGTGTTCCCGGAGCTTTATCTGATTATGGATACTACCTCCACGATCAGTGCATTTCACTAGCTATCGCAATGTAGAAAGACTTCCTAAAACTTTATTTACACCAATGAGCTCATAGTGACGTATTCGCTGAGCTAACGTCCTGAACATATCCGCGCTCCTAATTACACGCTCAGCTGGTGACATTCACACGTCTTCATTGACCACGCCGTGACTTGAACATGTACATCACACCTGAACCAAATCCCTACCCACAGGCTTCACGTGATGGACACATTGCACCCAATCGCTGGACCCCCGGGCCTGTGTCCAGTATGGCAATCTCTGGCCCTCATTGTTGTGGTTAAACACCAGTATCAATATTGGTTCAGCAAGCTTTCATGGTTTGTGTCATGCAGGTTCAACGTTGTTTCCAGGAGAAGTTTGCTTGCTGTGTTTGTAATTTGTTGTAATCAAGCTAGATCTCTACACCATTGACCTGCTAACACGCGAAGTTGTGGACGCTGAACCTCAAGAATATGGAATATATAGACGTTGAATATATATGAGGACTTGGAGGGAAAACCACTTCGGGGCCATCTGTAAATTAGCATTTAAATATTGTGCATTATAAACTGAATTTTAAGCTGAGAAGATGTTACCACATGAGGCGGTTTACATTGTGGTCCACAATTGTGTTACACTAATCATGTTGTTGGTAGTAGTGTTATACAGCAAATAAAGCGACACGATTCTTTCCATATCCAATAGAAATATCTGCATAAAGCAGAGTCGATTGTAAGATTCCAGCTATATCTTGAACATGTGTCTATGAATCACTGTCAAACAGTAATGACATCAAGTGTTCGCGGAAAGATTAGCGTATCCTGCCCCACCGGTGGCACCCGTCACAAACACAGGCAAAGGCAAGTAATTTGTTCACCTGAAAAACAAATAAAAATAGGGAATTGCATCGGACATCATTTTTGTCACTGATGCGTAAAATTTGGAAATGTCCTTCACATGTTTACCATAAATATTTTTGAAAGCTTTACTGACGCCTTGAATTCTTATTTGTGGGAAGTATTTGGAAAGCACGATGTCAGCACTAAGATGTCCAACATGTTAAAGTCCATTTATGGTAATGTCAAGTCATTTTTATATCAGCAAATGCAGTGAGCTAAAAATATCAGTACATGACGTCAGGGCTTGAATGATCAGCGCGGTGTATTTTCGTCTAAGTGAAACTGTTCAACTGTTAAACACCAGAACTGGAGTGGTCGGGTGCAATCCGAACAACAAACACTTGAGGCTTGATATACCCCACAGATACACTGGCATTCAGATGCTCAACACCTACAGGTTAACTTGTGTATGTTTCAGGTGTTTCATATCTATCTGTGTGTAAATATACACGTGTTCATATGTTGGATAATATCTTGCCAGCATATGTTCTGTTGTTGTTTTTTTTTTTGCATAGTGTTACATGTCACTATATTATTGGTCAGTAAAACGCTTTCCCCACCAAATGTGATCATTCAAACACGTGTCTGTTTATATGTTTACGATTGTTGCAGACGAAGACTATCTGTCTCTCCACCTTACTGTTTACCTGACGATGTCGGTGCATTTGATGTTTCCACAGTTAACAAGAGTCAATCAGCGGATAAGGATTAGCAGACGACAGCTACCAATTTTGATTTATCAAATTGAGATTATCAGTTGTAATTACAAGCGGCCGGATATTTGCTGTTTTCTGTAAGCTTATTTGCCTAATTTACCTCTGAGGTACAACCAGCTTTATTAAGTAAGCCAATTTCCAGAATTGGCTTACCTCAAACCGCTTTTCTTCCTTCACATCCACCGAGTCGGAGGATGAAGGTAAGTAAGATGGCGACGGTGGTGGACTTTGCCCCTTGCGACAGACGTCAAGATCCAATTTCACAGAAGGACGATACTTAATTACCTATAAGTCACCTATAATGTCAAATCATGTCATGTTTGCGTTGACCTAAAGTTTGAATCGATCTATCCTCGTGGGGTGTACGTACAAACAGCGATGTCTGAAAGGTTCCCCTCCGTTAACATATAATGACGTCATTGTCTGTTTAGCGCATTACCTCCCGTTAACAAATCATAACGTCATTGTCTATTTAGCGCAATTGTGATTAGTGTTATGTATTAGTGATGCACCATCAACTGTAGACATTACCACTCTACATCACTTAATGTAAGTTGAATATTTATTATATTGACCATGTTTATATGACACTTACGGCGGTAAATATCTCTTTGTTCCTATAAAACAATCATAACTATAAAAGAATCTCATATGCTCCTTATAATCTATAATTCATACAGTTTTGCATAATTGAATCTTGTTTTAACTTTGACGCAACAGAAGGTACTTCAGGTTACATCACAGGGCGTCAGTTTCATGTGGGAAAGACGCAGCTTATAGAAGGGAAACCCGAGAGTATGGATATGTATGGTAGTATTAGGTAATGTACATCATGGGTAACAACTATGTT